GCACCTTGCAATACGGTTGTTGTCCGTCTTTCTGACACGACGGATCGCAGTGATGTTTGCTTTCATCAGATAGTGCTGAGCCAGATCTAGACAGATGACAAATTAATACTCACATGATCTAAAAAAAAAAAAAGACCACCAATGCTTCTCATAAACACATGACTGCATGAATGCTCATATGTACCAGAGATGCCCTTTTCAGTGAAGACCAGGTCAGGTTTGAGACGAATAATATCTTCACAGATCTGCTGGATGTACTCTTCCTCCATCTGCAGAATGCGGGCGAAGTCTTCCTCGCGAGTGATCTCAATATCAGTCTGAGAGGAGCGCGAGGCCAAAGGTCAGTGTTTTAGATGTTTTTAAATAAGCATTCAGAGGAAGATTGTGGATTCAGACAACATCTCACCTGACTCTCACCCTTCTTGTACTCCAGAGAGCAGTCCAGCAGAACAATTCTCGGGTTCTTGATGAGTCTTCGCATACGGGGATGAGTTACATCCTTATTTACCATCACCCCCCTCAGCACACATGAGTCGTCAATGATGCCTCCAGGCACCTATTCACACAAAAACTGCAATTAGGTATATTTACACATTGCTTGACATTTAATCTTTGTTTAAAGTCAATATGAATTGCAGATCCTATGCTAATTTTATCCATTGAGAACAAACTGGATCATGTATTGGTCTTATCGCTAGATTTGGCTCTTGGTTAAGATTATCCAATATTTCACACAACTTCAGTGACATCAGAAAAGAGCAAGTTATTTTATTTTGATTAAAGATTTCTGTTAACAAAAACATTCTGTGATTACATTCAAGACCAAAATTGTGCATATATACAGTAAAACTAAGAAAGAATATGCTCTTTAGGCATATTTCTTTAGGCTGTGTCCTACCTTCTCAACTTTGGCATACTTCTTAATGTCGATCTCCTTGCGTCCGTTTTCCTCCAGCTCAACAGTACGGACAGCATCTAGAGCAATGTTGCAGGCCATGGTGGACCAGCGGCTGAGTGCCTTGGTGTTGATGGCAGAGTTTATTATCTTCAACATCATGTCACGATTATTCACATCTACTGGAGTGCTATGAGGGGGAGGAGGAAGTAGCAAAACTATCAGACTCCAGAGCACTGAAACATTTCAGCCCACTTTAGCCAACATCCACCTTACCAATCCACTGATAAAAATTAGCAGCTTAACAGAATGGTTTAGCCAAAATAATAATTTCCTGAAAATGTACTCACCCCAAGTCCATCAAAGATGTAGATAAGTTTGTTTCTTCATCAGATTTTGAGTAATGTAGCATTACGCCACTTGCTTACCAATGGACCCTCTGCAGTGAATGGGTGCCGTCAGAATAAGTTCAAACTAGAGGTCGACCGATAGTGGATTTTGCCAATACCGATAGCTAAGTTGGACCACACTGGCCGATACAGATTAATTAACCGATAGTTTTAAAATTGATACTGAACAAAAACTAAAATAGTGCTTTATTAACAAAAACAGTACTGAACCACTAGTAGTAGTAAAAAAAAATAATAATAATAATAGTAAATGTTGAGATTAACACACGCTAACAAGGAACAATACTTACTTACAGCTTTCATTAATCTTAATGCTACAAATTAACTCTTATTTTAAAGTGTTACCATTTCATTTCAACTGTCATGCTTAAAGATGCACATCTTTAAATATATACACAAAGGCTATAGCAATAAAATGTATATACATATGGATATTGTATGTATACTCTCACACTTTAACTGCTATTCTTGAACACTTGATGATCTGCTTGCCTGTACGGAGTTGATCCTTTTAAAATCACTTAATGTATTTCATAATGCGCGTTCATATTTGCTGTTCTGTATATAATTTGAGTCAACAACAAGACATATAGGCTACTGTATTGTCTTTATCATAGTCCGTTATTATGCCACATTAAGCATTTTGCTGTATGGGAGGACAAGTGAAAGTTTGCGCGTGATTTCAACCACTAGAGGCCGCTCTCGCACTGTATAATGACAACAGACCCTTCTCAGCCGCTCCAGCTATGGATGCAACCCGGAAAACTATCGGCATGGATTTTTGTCGATAACGGATAGTTCCAGCAATCAACTATCGGTGCCAATTAATCGGCAAACCGATACATCGGTCGACCTCTAGTTCAAACAGCTGATAAAACCATCACAATAATCCACATGACTCCAGTCCATCAATTTAACTTCTTATGCAGTGAAAAGCTGCATGTTTGTAAGACACAAATCCATAATTAAGGCATTTTAACTTTAAACCGATGCAAAATATGAGTCAATCCATACAGTAAACAACATTTCCTCCAGTGAAAAAGTTCATCCCCTGTTGTCCTTTCACATCAAATCCACTGACATATTTGTGATATTAGAACAGTTTCCACCTGTTTTCAGACTAAATGACTTTTTCACTGGAGAAAGCAATATTATGGATAGAGGACTTGTATTTTAGCGGGAAGCAACGGTTTGAAGTTCAGAATGTCTTGATGGATTTCGCTTCATTAAATGTTTACTGATTAATTGGAGTTGTACTTCATTCTGACAGCACCCATTGACTGGAGAGGATCCATTGGTGAACAGGTGATGTAATGCTCCAAATCTGTTCTGATGAACAAACTCTCATCTACATCTTAAATAATCGGAGGTTGAGTAATTTTTCAGCAAATTTTCATTTTTCTGTGAACTATTCCTTTATTAATTGAGAGCTCGTACAGAACAATTAAACTGGTTGTATGTTTGATTACCTGACGTCTTTGAGTATGTTCAACATGTCATCCAGAGCTTGTCTGTATGCACTGATCACCACGGTAGGATGCATCTGCTGTTCCAAAAACTGCTCAGCCACCGACAGCATCTCACCCGCTGTACACAGAATGGCACGTTAGGATTTGCTATTGAACAAATTAAATATTAACATATAAACATTAATTTAATTGTTAGTTGTCAACTTCTTACAATTCTTTTTTCCTAATAATTATTATTAATAATAATATAATGGATTATTTGTATGTTACTAAACTACAAAAGTTATTATTCAAGATTACATTTAATCAAACACCTACGTCATTCAATTTCACAGACTCTGTGAACTGAAATTTTCCCTCACCCAGAATAATTACAGAGGTGGTCCCATCTCCAACCTCCTCATCCTGTGTGCGGCTGATCTCAATCATGGACTTGGCAGCAGGGTGCTGGACCTGGATCTGAATGCCACAAAAAAAGAGAGAACATTTTATTAACATTCAATAAATACAAAACCTACATTTTGTTTGACAAATTTATGGAGTGGTATTCACAATCACCTCTCTCAGAATGGCATTGCCATCATTGGTCATGACAATACCACCCATGGGATCCAGAAGCATCTGCGCACAAAGAACAAAACATTTCATCAAACATCTCTTTAGAGCAATATCATACGTTTCATCTTACAATAAACAATGCACCAAAATATAAGTGTGGACTAAACACCAGAAACACACCTTCATCATAGCCCTTGGTCCCAGACATGTCCTGATGATATCTGCTATGGTCTGAAAGGAGGATGAAGCAGCAGGCTAGTGATTTTGTTTCATCTGACATGTCTTTCAAAAAAATCTATAAATAAAACAGACCCACCTTTGCCGCAGTGATGTTTCCTATCTGGACCTTTCGTCCAGACTCTCTCTTGATGTTCTGACCTGTTATGAGCAGAAACAGAACCAGTGTGGTTAAATCAGTTTGAACCCTAATTATTTTCTTCGTTCAGAAAATAACAATTCTAAAAAACAATGATTTAAAATCTAACACAAATTAAATATTTGACATGCTAACAGAAAATATCAATAATGTTACGAGTCTAAGCATATGAACAGGGTGCAGCTCTGGTCAGCACACTCTCTGTGCCGTTAGCCTTATGCTAACTAATTCATTACTTTAAAACCTCCGTTAGACAGAACCGACAGCCCCATAAAGCCAGCAAATGACTGAGAACTGAGCAGCGCCAGCTTTATTATTGACTGTGCAACTTGTGGTGCAATGGCTTAAACAATATTATTATTAATACGCAATGTTAGCAGTGAGGCTAACACAATGACTAATCTGAACACTGACATGAGCTTGTCAGACACGCGAGGCCCCCGTGCACGCTAGTTAGCTTAGCATTCTAGCACCGATGCATGAATAAGTCTTATTCACACCGTTACCGAGTCCAGCAGCGGCTCATATGAAAGCTACACTCGCGCATTTTCAGATGGAATAATGAAATAAGCACTCACTAAGCACGAGAACCGGTCGGCCCATCATGTTTGCGGCGTGGTTTTAGATCACCGGTACCTGACAACGCGCACAACGGCGAGAGAGAGGAGAGGATCCACGAGGCGTGGCTGGGGATTCAGCGACGCAGTGGACCAATGAGCAAGCGAGACGCATTTGACATACACATATCTCCACCAATCAAAGAAAGCTCAGTAACGCTTGTGGGTGGGTGTAGACTGGAGCAGAACTGAAAAGTTCTCGAAAGAATCCTGTCAGGATGAAGATTTCCGAGATAAAAACTTAAATTTTACTTACAAGTAATTAAACGCTTAATTTTAGATTTGCGTCCAAAAAAAGGCTAACTGTACACTGTAAAATATTTTTAATGAAAAATAAATATTACAGTAAAAACTCTGAAATGGTTAACCAGGTTAAATTACCATATAAGGTAATATTAAAATTAAAGGACTAAAACGTAGGTATAAACTAATAAATAAATCTACTTTTAATAATAATATAATACATTGTTTTTGAAGTAAGACTATTTATATATATATTTGTCTGTATTTATTCTAAAATTAATTATATTTAAAATATATTAAAAATATTATTTTAAATACTACTTTTGTTTAAAATTGAAAAACAAACTGAAAAAAGCTCATCTTACTATGCAACCTTTCAAACAGTACTACAAATATACAACAAACATATGCTACAATACACACACAATCAGGTGTCTGTCCATTTCTTTATTATGACAGCAAACACAAAACACCATTTTTTGATGACATAAACAGTTCAAGAAGTGTCAAACTTCTAAAAGATTTCTAGCCTAGGAGCAGATGTTAACGTCTCACATCCTCACATGTATGGATGGAGGACGCGATCCAAGACCCTTACAGATGTTTGATTTGACATGACAGACATTAGGAGGTAGTAGAGGTACCCCAATTCTTTTCATAAGACTGTTATTGCAGTCATCAACTGCTTACAGAATCTCTAACACATCCTGTAGACTTGAAACAAAGTTTTTATAGTGGCATCTGAATGGACTATGAAGAGATTGTGTAACTAATGCACCAATGCAGTAACAAATTTCAACATTTTGTAAACTAAGCCAGCAGTAAGGAGTTAGGTACAAACTTCTTAACTTAAAAGCATTCAGTCAGTGGAACACTTTAGGATGCTACAGTAACATGTTTATGATAAGTGACCTATAAACATTTAAATAAAGAGACAGGAAATTAACATATTTCACATATGCAGTGCATTTTGTTATAAAAGACAGAGAATAAAAGAAAACGGAGGCAACTTGGCAGCAGATTTTTGAATAACTGATGTAAAAACAGTATTTTAACTATAAACTACATTCCTTATCATGTGTCCAGTAGTGTATTGACTAACATTTTACAAGTGATGCATTTTATCATGTGCTTCGATGATCCCGATTGATGTCATGAACAGCTGCGAGTAACATTTGGCTGAAGTGGGTTTGTGCATTTCTCCACCTGTAAAATTCAGCATCTTATTGTTTGTTTACAGTTCATCCCTTGATTCGTCTAAGATGAGCGGATTTGTGGCCTCTTTCTTCAGGAAGATGATGAAGTCACTAACCTCACGACCACCCTGTGGGACAAAAACGTTTAAGTAACATTGTAGCCATTTGTCTCTGTCTCTGTGTGTGTGTGTGTGTGTGTGTGTTTGTGTGATGATATTCACCTCATATCGCTGTGGCTGGTCTTTTTGTCCAGAAGGCACAAAGTAAATGGTTGGAAATCTGCAGTTTAGGCAAAACAGGTGATGAATCAAGAAGAAAAACAGCTGAATGTCACAGAATGTTTGTTGTAATGAACTATAAATAGATCAGAGACATAAAGAGAGACAGATTGTTACCCTTGGACATCATAATTTGGGGGCACATCATTAGCAGTGGCGTCCATTTTAGCAATTACAATGTTGGGGTCCCCAGAAAGCTAAGACAAACACAAAATAAAATCCAAATAATGAGCACTGTGGGCCTACAGTGGCATTATTTTTGGCATATACTACTGTTTGGGGTCAGTGAGATTTTTTATTATTATTTTTTTACGTTTTCATTCAGCAAGATGCATTGAATTAATGTTGTAAAAAAAAAAAAAACGATTTCAAATAAATGCTGTTCTTTTGAACTTTCTATTCAGCAAAAAGTCCTGGAAAATACATATACAATACAATAACATTGATAATAATAAATGTTTCTTGAGCACCAAATAAGTATATCAGAATGATTTCTGAAGGATCATGTGACATTGAAGACTGGAGTAATGACTGCTGGAAATTCAGCTTTGTCATCACAGGAATAAATGTATTAAAACATAAAAGTTATTTTAAATTGTAATAATATTTCACATTATTATTCATTTTACCATATTTTTGATCAAATAAATGCAGCCTTGGTGACTTACTTCATGAACATTAAAAAAAATCTTACTGACTCTAAAACCCCAGCCTCTGATGAAAAATGCTTTATATTATATATACATTGTGTTAACAAACCTTTTCTCCAAGCTCCTTGTATACGGGCTCCAGGTTCTTGCAATGGCCGCACCAGGGAGCATAAAATTCAACCAACACATCCTTCTCTGGATCATTCACAATCTCGTCAAATGTGTCAGCAACAACAACCTGTGGAACCACATACATAACGAATACCAGAAAACTTAAAAAATAAATAAATAAATAAAATAAAATAAAAAAACATCTCTGTGGGTCCACTGACCTTGACAGGGTCATCATTGGACTCTGGAACAGGCTCAGATTTCACATATCGCTTCAATCTTTTAGCAAAGTAATCCTCCAGGAACCTCTCCAAGGACTTGCCATCTCGTCTACAGAACCAAACACAGAATGAGCTTCTGAAGCCTTTTCTCAAATCTATTGATTATTTCTTACTGGGTGTAAACAGAAAAGCATTGTGTGTAGAGACTAGTGTTTTGTAAAACTCACGTGAATTCTTCCTGCATGGAATACTTGTGTCCCTCTCTCGTCCGGATTGTGACGAGGGGAATGTCTCCTCCCTCAGAGGAACCCAAACCAAACTCCTCCTCAAGCTCATCCTGGAACTCCTGTCGATCTGCCACAGCAAAACTCAGACCTCGATCCTGGAACTGTGTTGCCACCTTCATTATTCTGAAAGAGACAACGAGAAATTTACAGATATAAAAAGAACAAATATACTGATATCCCTAAGATTGGGTGCTCACCTGTTCCTCCAGTAGTTTGTGCCTTTGAGATTTCGTAAGTAATCTACAATGTAATATGATGTAAGCAGATCACTTCCTCTCAGAATGTCCCTATTTTCTGTGGTCAAATGTGGACAGAGACCAAATCTAAAAGCAGAGTGATATGAAAATAGCAAGACCAAGAATCATAATCACAATAAATCAATTTGCATTTTTAAATGGAGTTCCAACTGTTTGATCAATCACCCACAAAATATACAAGCATAAAAGAAACTTACACATTGTCTCTGATGAATGTACGGAGAGAGGAATAAGAAATGGATTCTGTGTATTTCACCACATTTTCCTCAAACTTGCCGTTTAAACGAGGGGGACGAAACAGCAGAACACACCTGAATGAAAAAGACAAAGAGAAGAAAAAGCGCAATCTTTGAGACGTTTAAAAATTTAGTTCATCTACCCAATATTAACATTTTCAGTCATTAAAACTGACATTTCATAGCCTATATGACGTGTGCACAACCCTCACATCTGTTCATATTTGGATAGCTTACCTTAAAAGTACCATATACCAATATAACCAATATAACATAATATTTGAGAAATATTTCTGCCTATATAATTTTTGAGTTAGGTCCTTCTTTAGTAAGCACTACTTCTGACAGCAAATAAATACTGATCATAGTAGTCACTTCCTTCATGCTCTGTGTCATACATACTCTCCATCTACACCGTATTTCAGGCCTGTTCCCACATCAGTGGAATGAGCAAATCGATAGCTGTCCCTCAGGGCACTGGAGACCTTCAGAAACTCTGCAAGCTGTGTACTGTCTTCCCCAGAGAAGAAGCCTGAGCAAAACCATGAACAAAGACAAGAGGACAAAACTTGAAAGGAGAGAACTTAAGCCTCTTTTAGTTTCAAGAGAGATTAAAATTAATACAGAAGTCAAGTATGATTGGTTTTGAGCTTCTGCTGCAGAAGCGATTTAAAGGGGTCATATGATGCTGCTAAAAAGAACATTATTTTGTGTATTTGGTGTAATGAAATGTGTTTATGCGGTTTAAGGTTCAAAAAACACATTATTTTCCACATACTGTACATTATTGTTTCTCCTCTATGCCCCGCCTTTCTGAAACGCGTCGATTTTTACAAAGCTCATCGGTCTGAAAAGCGAGGTGTGCTCTGATTGGCCAGTTATCCAGTGCGTCACACGTTCCTCAAGCGTGTGACGGAAATGTTACGTCCCTTACCATATTGCAAGAGCTTGTAACACTCCAAAGAGAAAGGAAAAATTTAAATCGCATCCTATGACCCCTTTAAGATGTTTTGGCAGGTTTTACGAATTCAACTCACCCACCACACTGGCCTCATAGTTGTCGACAAAAGAATCCAAATCCGCCTCACTGAGCAGAGACACAGAACTTGGACCTGCTTGTTTTTTCATGTAGCTCACAATGCCATCTGTTTCAGATCAAGTTATAGGTACGTAAAACAAAAATAATTACAGCCAAAAAATAACGACAATATAAAACACACTGCCATTGAAAGGTTTGGGATCAGTAAGATTTTTTAAAAGAAATTAATACATTTTAAAGGATAAAGTTACAGTAAAGACTGATGCATAATGGTACAGGATTCAAAGAATTCTGAAAAAAATAACACGATTTCCACAGAAAAACGAAAGTTTTCAACAAGAAATGTTTCTTGAGCACCAAATCAGCAAATAAAAATTATTTCTGAAGGATCGTGTGATACTGAATACTGGAGTAATGGCTGCGGAAAATTCAGCATTGCCCTTACAGAAATAAATTATTGTTATGATATATTTGCTTTTTGAACAGTACTGCATGTATGGACACAAAATATCAACCTGCTATTCTGGGGCCATCATAAGATCCAGCTTCCTCTCCATTGCGGAAGATTTTAAGGGTGGGATACCCATTCACTCCAAAACGCTCACATGTCTCTGAGTTCACGGTGCAGTCAACCTGATCAAACATCAGGAAAGAGACACGTTCACTAAACATATATAAAAACATAATCTTGCAGATTGAATCACCTGCTTAACATTAGGGAGGCTAAAGATTTGTGCTGGGTAATAGGAACTGGTGTGTCCATCACTCCTCACCTTTGCCAGAGGCAGTGTCCCTTTCAGCTTTGTGGCAGCAGCCTCATATTCCGGAGCAAGCCGCTGACAATGACCACACCTGTGGTAACATCATACCAGGGATATTAATGATACATAAAGGCATTGTACTATTTAACTGCAATGGTAGCTAGATAGTTTCAGCTTCAGATAGATCTTATGGAGAAAATCCCTAATGTTATTGTTTAAATGAGAGAATTGTGCATTTGCATCATAATTTAGGTTCATGCACCTCCATGCATCATCATTTAGATTTATGCACTACATGCATTAACAACCATTGTCATTCTCCACATAGTCCAGACATAAACAAGGAAAACCCAACTTACGCTCTGGTCGCTGTACAAATAGTTCATTACAACCTGGCTTCAAATGGAATTATACTTTTATGCATTTATAACAAATACATCTTATCTGGGACATACCAAGGTGCGAAGAACTCCACCAGCAGAGTCTCATGCATGGCTGCGCTCCGGTCAAAGTCAGAGTCTCCGAGCTCGAGCACATCGCTGCCCTCCGCACACCACACAGTCAGTACCAGACAGATGATAAACCGAGGTAAACGCATTTTGACTCGTGTCAGCGTACAGACGCGTGAATGTTGAAGTTGGCCCCGCTGCGCGAGTAGCAGATGTATGGATCGCCTGAAGGTCCACAAAAGCACCGTTCTTCTGGCAGAGCGCGTTTGATAAATTCAGTGCACTGGTACAAGGCCTTTCCTTGGTATAACGTGCCTCCGGTCGCGTGGTGCACCAGCACATGGGATTTATTACGCTCTAATCATTTAATCTTTTAGATACGGCTAGTTTATGAAAATCAATAAAGTGTTTAAAGACCATAAGTCAGAGGAGGGGAAGGTATGCAGTGATTTATTTTAGCACTAGGTGTCACCATTAATACAGACACATCTTATTTAGATAAGAAGAGGCTTTGGCCTGTCAAGAGGTTGCTTTTTCCAGATTTTGAGACTGGACAGACATTAAATCAGACAAAATATATACTATAATAATATTTAAGAAATATCATAATAGCAAGTGTACTATTGTTATGGATAAAATAAGCTCTTAAACAGACCTTTGATATTCAGCAGTGAAATATTGCTTTATTATAACAAAAGATAGCCTGCTACTGAATAAATCATTTTAGACAAGTACTCGTCTCAAGTATAGTGGTGTTTTCTTGAATGAATCCGTTTCGAATGAGATGACTGAGTGAGTGATTCAGTGACATGCTCATATCGCCAGTGTTGAGGGATAGGCATTCAAGTAACACAATCAGATGACTTTTTTCAAGTAACTAGTAAAGTAACACATTCTTTTTAAATTGACAAGAAAATATCTTAGTTACTTTTTCAAATAAATAAACGACACTTTAGACTGACAGCTCTCCTGTCCTCATATTGAGAGAAATCGGGTGTAAGTGCAGAGGCGTTGTGTGTACTATGTAAACATTATGGTTACTGTAAGCCTAGTTCTAGACTAAATGTGAACATACATTTTCTCATCTCACTTGCACAGATTTAGTAGCCTATTCCTTAAAATTAATAAAAACAGTGAAATGCAATCTCAGAATATGAAGCAAACTTGCAATAATGAAATAACACAAATATCCTTTATGTATTTAATTCCATTTTATTAACCAATGTCTTTGCTGCTGACCTTCGATTTTCTAATTCAACCATACGGATAAGCAAAAATGATTTTAGCTAAACATAACATTTGTGTTTCTTTCTTTCTTTCTTTCTTCTCCTGCATCCTATTTTTCATGCAATCCAGAATGGCAACACAGCTGAAAGGTTTGTTTGAGCTGCGTCCTCTACTGTACAGACGTGAAGTTACATTTTCTTCATCCTGAGGCTTATTAATTTCCCTTTTGGTGTGAAAGGGCTTTTTTTATTTGCCAGAAATAGAAATTAATATTAAAAACAATTAAACAAGCCCAGCCCATATAAGAAAAAGTTATGAAAAGTAACACAAAATTAATGTAACACATTAATAATGTATAATAATGTACTTTCCATAAAAAGTAACAAATTAACACAATTAATTACTTTTCAAGGGAGCAACAAAATACTGCATTGCATTACTTTTATAAGTAACTTTCCCCAACAGTGCTTATCGTTGTTGTATAAAATATATTTGGGATGCAATGCATCATACCTCTTTAGAAATGCAAAAAGATTTCTGTGTACTTATTTAAAGATTTTCACAGAACAAGAAGTTACACAAAGAAACACATCACCTGGGGAATTTCAAGACCTACAGTACAATGTGCAAGTGAAGTTCCTGTCTTCAGATGATAAGCTAATGCCAAAACTGACTCAGCCTATCTTTTGCTGAGTGTTTTATTGAAACGGAAACCCTGTTTTCCTTCATTCTCGATTATTTCCTAAATTATAGTGTGTTATCTGTTAATACAATGCATGGAGGGGAAATACGTCCTGGAGCATCACTTATCATTAAAGCCAGCAGGAAACCATTCTCATGGACCCTTCAGTGCAATGGCTTACCAATGATAGTTGTTAAAGCCTTCTTTTGGCCAGCTATTTTTGAACAGACATTCGAATAGTAATTTAGAAAGAGGGATGCTTTGATGTCCCAGATCCTGAATTTTCCATTTCACTCCCCCATTTTAACCAAATCCCTTATTTAACTTTCCAGACCATCCTAAAACATACAATCATTGTGTTTCAGTTTTAGTTAATATTTTTTATTTAATCTCCAAACCTAAATCTGAAGACAATGGTGTAAAATCCCTTGTGAATAATTTTAATATGTGCTTACTGTGATGGCGTTATGTAATGAGGGATTAATTAACTACTGTATCTATAAAAAAAACTCCTCCAAGTAAATTATTTTGATTTCTTTGTTTTGTAATGTTTGACCCCTTACATAAATGACTACAACAGATAGTCACATTTCTCCTAATACGTTGTGTGAAAATTATGGGGAAAACTATAATATTTGAATAACATTTGTCAACTGAGTTTTATGAAACGTAAAAGAAATGTAATGTAAAACAGCTTGAAAGAAAAATATTATTAGGTTCATTATGCAATTATTCCCATTATTTTAACACATCATTGGGGTCTCTGGAATCCCAAGCATACAACAGTAAGTAAATCTCAATAGAACATGAGGGTTAACAACACTTATAAATATTTTAGTGTAACCTATAATATAGTGTATGGAAATGTCAATAGACATACATCTATTTAAGACTTCCATTTGTTAAGACTGTATTGTATTATGTTTTGTAATGACAGTTTTATGCCAAACTGTACTATACTTATACACTAAACTATACTTAGAAGAACTAAACAGTGGGAGGGAGAGAATACAGTAGGCGTAAGCGCTTGCCCACTCCTCGCGCACTTGCAACTCGATTGTCTTGAGGCTCTCCAGCGCATAGATACAGAGAGTGATTTAGCACACACCGGTTTAGCGATCACTTTGGAAGCAGGACACAGCTTCCAAAGAAGTTTACAAAAGGACGTACATCTGTAAGAGTATCTTGATTGTCCTCGGGACGGAGCACTCCAGAACATCGCTCAATAAAGTTCAATGCCACTTCTCCAGTAAGGTAAGAAAGTTTACGCTACTCACAATACAATTGAATGCAATGTTTAAGACTTTTCATACCGCAAAGGACATGATTGATTTCTTGATTGCGTTCAGTTTTTGTATAGCCTACTTTTCTTCGCATCTTTGTCCTGATGTTTTTTCTGTTGAAGTTTCCATCTTCTGTCCTGACCTACTTCTTGAAGTCTGGTTTTGATGAGATTATGTGATTGCTTTTTCTTAGGGTTCACTCTCAAATTTAATACAATTTTCAAACAAACCATATCGTTCAAACCAAAAATTGTATATTGTTTAATGTAAATGTACACTTCAAAACAGAATAACCCTTTATTGGTAGATTTCATTAGTTCACACAATAACCGTAAAAAAAAACTAAGTAAATATCTGAAAAATTGTGGTTTTCCTGTAAAATTAAGGTGCAATTTGGCTGCTGAAACAGATGTGCATTGACTTTTTTTTAGACCAAATCAGACACAGATGTGTTTGTGATCTGAAGCAGGTGCTTCTTTATCCATCTTATGATTTTTTTCCATCAAAATTACATTTTTATAATTTGCATAACAAAACAGCATACAGTAGCCTATGTTTAAAAATTACATGTATTTTGTATGTGATGCCTGTCATAATACAAATATCTGAGTCACGGCTGTGTTATTTGAAGGAGAATGGTGGAATGGCACACACATTTGATCTTTTTGTGAGTCATATCAAAGGCACTACCAATGTTTTTTGTTCATTTGTTGTTGATCTAACAGATTTTTAGCATTGCATGCTATTTGAGTATTTCTTCCCTACAACATTCTAGTGTCAGGCACTTGCAGATACAAACAAACCACAGCCCTGCAAAACCACAATTGGCCAAAAGCCCATTAGATCCAGGAGATGCTGATCTTGACCTTGTTTCTAGATGATTCCAGACCATTAAAATGAGTCCACTAGCTGTTTTGCCATCTTTTTTATTCCAGACCACAATATCCCCTAAAACAGGTCAGACTTATGAATAGGAGCTCAGAAAAAAAATCATTTGTACCTGCCAATGGTTCCACATCTGGAGAGCAGAGACTAATTGATTTCCACAGGAGAAACGTTTCACCTTGACAGCAGCATACTGAGGTCCTCATAAAAAACATCTGCTGTGGATATGATTTCTTTGTTGGGTCATGAGCACTGGGTTGGCACAGACTCTTTAACTGAAATTCTTCGGATTATGCCAGGGGGTCTTGATTCAGTAGTTCACAGCTGTTTGTGTTATGAGATAATTTATGCCATGAAATTAATTGTAAATTAGCAGCTATTAAACTGGAATTGTTTTCTGTAAAGCAATCTAATATGTAAACATTAAAAAAAAAGAGAATTTGATATCTGATTTTAAGTTTTGTAAATCTTTATACTGACTTTTTATGTGTTTAAATTCTTAGCCGTAACCTTCTACATGTCAAAAATTGACATTATATGAGTTCAGGGCGAAATAAAATAGTACAGAGAAAAGAACATACAGAGGTCAGTGGTGATGAGATGGGGGTGTTATGTTAACAGATGAAGACGGTGGGTAATATTTCCACCATATGCTTACATAAGCCTCATGCTTTTTGCAGGCAGAGGCCTAAGGAGGGCTTTGGATCTGTGGGCTTCTGCCTAAAGCTGTTCCCATTTCTTTATTTGTCTATTGCTGGACTTTTCTGCATTTTTGTTAATTCATTTTGCATTTTTGTTTGCTTTTGTTTGCATATCCCTGTTTATTTTCAGTGAGTCAGTGAGAAGATCTCTGATCTGAAAGTCGGTCGGTCTTGGAGAGAATTGAAGCACAGCCGCAGAGCTGGTAGTCATTAGGAGAGGGGAAAGTGACTCTGATGTTGTTTTGCACGGTCTGTTTGCACGGAAGAAAAGACAAACAACCCATCTAGGGTGAAATATAGAAACATAGTTGTGTTTGTAAATCTCATACAAGTGTTTAAGTGGAGAACTCTTGAAAAATGATCACGACAGCTGGCAGTAAAGCTCATTTTGTGATTGTTGCGATACAGAAAAGGGCTATGATTTACAACAGTTATATCTGTCATTCCCTTCAGTCAAAACAAAGCCATTGTTGCGTAAAAATCCGGTCCTTCATATCTGGAATTGACATTTGAACTCAGACTTACAGCCATTGATTCTACCGCTGTCCTCCTGCTGTCTCAGGGTTGTATTTTAAATCAGGTAGAATAATAACCCTCCTCATCTTTTCCTTTTGCTTTAGTATTATGGAAAAGGCATACTGGCACTGTACTGAAGTTTGT